TTATTTATTTCATATTTAATTACTCTATTTCGATTATTTATTTGAATAATATTTATTCGATTTTTCGTTTTACTATTTCTTTAATTCATTATCTTAATTCTTTAAGTAAAAAAAATATTATTTTTTTAAATTTATTCATTAAATATTTCGTTAATTATGTATATTATTTATTTCGATTATTTATTTGAATAAAAATAATAATCTTTATTCAATTTTTCGTTTCACCATTTCTTTAATTAATTATCTTAATTGGTTAGGTAAAAATAATATTATTCAAGTTAATTTATTCTTTAAATATTTCGTTAATAATGTGTTTTATTTATTTCATATTTAATTACTCTATTTCGATTATTTATTTCAATAATATTTATTCGATTTTTCCTTTTACAATTTCTTTAATTCATTATCTTAGTTCGTTAAGTAAAAAAAGTATTGTTTTTTAATTTATTCTTTAAATATTTCGTTATTTATGTATATTATTTATTTCGATTATTTATTTGAATAAAAATAATAATATTTATTCGATTTCTCGTTTCACTATTTCTTTAATTAATTATCTTAATTGGTTAGGTAAAAAAATATTATTCAATTTAATTTATTCTTTTAATATTTCGTTAATCATGTGTTTTATTTATTTGAAGCGTCTATTTAAGTAGAAAAGAACAAAAATTAAAACTCAATTTAATTTATCTTTAAATATTTCTTTAATTTTCTTAATAAATTATTTTTTTTATTTTTCATTTTATTTCTTAACACACACACAACAACAACAACAACAAAAAAAAAAAAAATTATATGTATTTGACGGACCCGGATTTGGGCCGGTTAGCCGGACCTGGACCAAATCCGGGTCCGATCTGGTCCGTAACGGACCAGATGGTTCGCTACGGACCGTCAGATGGTCCGTTACGGACCACATATGGTCCGTTACGGACCAACGGTTTGGTCCGTAACGGACCAAACCGGCGGGCTCGCCGGAAACTCCATTTCCGGCGAGCTCCGCCCCTTTTTTTCACTTTTTTTTCAAGATTTTAACTTCAAATTCGATATTTTCTTACATTTTAACTATAGAAACATGAATTTAACCCAT